GGTCGGTTTCCAGAAGATATGTGTCACCATAGCCTCTTTTCGAGTTCAATTTGACATTTTTTTTTTGGCCCAAATTACCTATCCTGTGTTGATTGACCCTTCCACATGTAATAATATTTTTTATTATAAATAATCAAAATACATATTGCTACCACGAAATAGATATGCATTGTTATTTAAGGTTTTATGTTTTACTATAAGCAGATTGGGCCATGATTTCGCTTGTCTATCTTACAACGCTGATGTATTGGTTTTATTGTAAAGAAAACAAATAGATATAATATTGTTTATGGCTTCGACATTAGATTGTCTCTTTTCACTCCATCACAAAATTTAACTCCTGTTTTACCAGTTCACGATTCATTTGCCATCCCCTAAGGTGTGACAAGTATGACGTAAAAAGAAGACATAGCATGGCGTTAGGAGAACAATTATATGTGACGTCACAATCAGCTCTCGAGAGTACGAGAGGTCCCTTACAAATCAGACTACATGCACAAATGTATTGATTTCAACATAGTATTGGAACATGATGGGAGAAAAATATCTTCGTTCGTACCTAAATTTTGACACACAGGGAAACAGTTTCACCACAACTTTGATTATCTAAGGGCGTTCTAATGTGTACAGTAGCAGGAAGCAGTAGGTCTATCTCATTCTCAGCAGTGATTTTTATGTAATAAGTTAGATATTAGTCCTTCAATTATCTAGTATATATCAAAACGTTTTACCTAAAAAAGTTTATGTAGAATACGTGTAAGTTGCAAAACTATGGAGTATTTCTCCAGATTGTGAATCATCATGCCATGGCGCATGTAGTATGTGATATAAGCTGATGCAGTGGCAGATTGTTAATTGGACAGTTCTGGCCCTAAGTTCTGGCTCATGCAGTCGCAGATTGTAAATTGGACAGTTCTGGCCCTAAAGTTTTAGCTTTGTCTTCTCCAAACTTATCAAAGAACATCCAGTTCATGTTTTACAATATGCTTGATAGACGAGATATTCAAATTGCCACAATCCTTGACTTCTGTAAGAAACTTTGTTTTTTTAATAAGACGACGTTGTATTCCTGTCTCTTGTACGGAGGTGTTACACTTTTTCCCATCAGTATACTGAAGTATTTTGTAAGGATACCAAACGTATCGCTGACATAGTATCTATGAAACAAGAATTTGATTGGTTCTCAATAACATTGAAAGATATTACCAAAAAATACGTAAAGCAACCCTTTTTGACAAGCTGACATGCCGTGTTACAAACAAAACAAATAGCATGCAAACATATGTAATATCAACCGGCATTTCAAATGAGAACAAAAACCTTATCGCGACCATATGCGTTTCGAAAGTCAGACATGTCCGTTTCTATCAACTAAACAGAAACTAAATTCCAACGACATATGGTTTGAGAACAAATTATGTTCCAAATGCTTTATCAGATGTTTTTTAAAATGTCAAACATCTCCACTGTATCAATTTGAACCGACTGACTTTCATATGAAAACACAACACTCTCCCTTGACTACCCATTCAAGAGTCTCGTTACCTTACGAGTATCAACGAGGATAGTTTTTGACATATGATTACAATATTTTTAAGGGACATCACGGTGAAATGTTTTTTTAATGATTTGTTTTTCAAATGCCGATGCATATATCAAGTGAGTCTCAGAATAGAAAATGACAGTCGGATTTCGTTGATTCGTTTTCATAAAATTGTTTAATAACTTAAAGAAGAGGGGATCCAGTCACCTGTCTAGCCAACAATTTGTACGGTATTTTGTTTGCGTCATTCTGATAACATATGCCCATTTAATACCATTTTATTGTAAACAAAATGGCTTGCAGTGGGAGTGTTAGTGAGTTAAAACAGCTACGAAGCGAAGAGTTGCAAAATGGTCAAATAATATTGCAGGGATAACGTTATGGAATAATAATTGCTGGTGGGAAGTTTTATAAAATGCACTAGCAAGCGGAACGTTATACTTATTTTTCTGGATAGCCGGTAGGTAGTTGAATATAGCTGACGTGGAATCGAGCGCAGTGGTGTTTATGTTATGAATAAGTATTTAAAAGAAAAACATATTTGAAATATATATATATTTTATTCCCCCTCCCCCTGAAGTTTTGTTACAAAAGTCAATGTCCCATTACCCATTACAAGAGGATAGATAATTGCAACGAAAATGCTATATCGTCATAAAAAACATGATACATAATGCACTTTTACTATCTGACAGTTTTTTGAATTGTCCATGTATGTTTGTGTATGATGACACTATTACAGTGTTAGAAGAGTGATGAAAAAGTCTGTCCCCTGGTCGTGTATGTTTGAAAAAAGAAGCGTATTATCGTGCCAATTTGACCCGTTCTTATCCCATTCGAACATGATTTGTTCATTTGAATATTGGCATGTTTATAACTAACTGATGATGATAAATACTTATTGTATGTGTGATTCAATCAGTTTCAACACAGAGTTACATAAAGCTTATTCCTTGGAAAATGTCCAAATACATCCCCCTCTCGTGGGGCCCCTTTGTCACTGATTGTGTTTATAAATGGTTCTGCCTTGTTTCGAAATCGTCACATGACGTTATCTTGCTGTATTTAATGGAGTTTTCCCGCACAAACTGGACACTTGGAATGGATTTGCAATATTGGATAGCAAGGAAACATAATATGCATTGCACAAAACACGTACATTCAATAACTGAAATATTGCTTTTGACGGTATATCCCTTAAGAAAGGCATCCAAATTTTTGTATAAGAACCTAAACTTATATGTAGCAAAGATGTGTTCATAGAAATATATCTGTTTTGTAAAAATGAGTTACTAATGAATGATCTTCAATACGGTCCTACTCTGACAAATAATAAATAATTATCAGGAAAAAATAAAAAAAAAATAAAAAAAAAAAAAAAATCCATAGAGATTTTTGGAATTGTTTTCGATATTGGTTAAATGGGGCATGATTACTATGTATCCCCGTCAACCGTCTTTAAATATTAATGATATAAAATACATATTTCTTTGCAACACAATCCAATTTCTAGGGTTTTGATTTGCAAACGTAGTGAGTTTTCTTAGTTCAGTCTCGGCTGTCCTTGTCGCTGCTCTTAACTCCGCCTTTGATCCCGGCAGACTTTTCTTGATCTTGTGCAATATTAATATTCTTCTGTCACACAATTCCACGCTGTTGTGAAACTGGGATTTGTTGATATTCGTTATAATAATAACACACTTTGCGCGCTTGTCTATATTATTCGGACCAAGGAACCAATTTTGAAAGTCAGATCTTTCAGGAAGTGTGCAAACTCCTTCAAGTTACAAAGACCAGGACCACCCCCTATCATCCTGAATCAAACGGATGGATTTAAAGGTTTAATAAAACGTTAGGAACTATGATCAAGTGCTTCCTGAAAGAGAATCCTAAGGAATGGGACCGTCACTTGGAAATACTTATGGAAGCCTATAGAAGTACAAAACATCATATTTGGCTGGATGTAAATATCTTTGTAAAGAAAGATTTGATTTTGAATTCTACTGTGTAGATTCTTGAAATATTTTTTCAAAGTGTTTTGTTTAAAATTGTTCTTTTTACATTTCGGGGACAAATGTGGTCTAAAAGGGGAAAAGTGTTGTGAAACTGGGATTTGTTGACATTCGTTATAATGATAACATAATTTGCGCGCTTGTCTACATTATCTTAGAAAGAGAGTAATTCTTTATATAGCTTGCTAAAATCGTATGTATCATTACTAGTGTATCTCTTTGTCAATGTGATATCAACAATACCTTTATAATCGTCAAGAAAGTCAGTTTCTATGTTTTCACCAAGTCGGGTGTCAAACTTTCCCGCAAACTATTGACGGTTTATGTCGTTGTATACGTGACGTAACTTCCGGGTTATTTCGTCCGCTATTAATAGTATCATACGTTAAAGATAACGGAGTCTTTGTAATTCGTACTGATTTTGTCCATAGGAAAGAAATACATATATTATTGTAAAATTGTACTTTAAGAATGTTTTGTTGTTTTGCGTAACCATTGTGGCACGCGCTATTCGATATAACAGTCGAGCTGGTAGAGATCCTGTGTGTACCAAGCGAGGTAACTCTGATGAAAGGTAAGGCATTTTTATAGGAACTTAAATTATACTCTATCTAGTTTAATGTCGTATTTATACATTTCCCATTCATATCTACAACCTTCGGTGAAACATGAAGTCGGGCTCGGAGGAAAATAAGTTGCAAATACTAATTGAGGGAGTATTTGAATTTATTTCGATAACTTGTGTGAGCCACGTAATGTGGAGTCACAAGAAAGTAATTGTGTCTAAGGTCTAGATAAATCCATATCTTATAACCCGTGAAGTCGGTCTCACGGGAAACTAAAGAAACTTGTATGGCATAGATAAATCTATAAATCATAACCTAATGTAAGGCTTATTTTAACTAACCGAGCATGTATTTCTTGACTGATAAGTTATTCCTAGTGTTTATGATAGCTATATTATTCAAGTAGGATTTTGCATGATAGCATAGTACGACTCGACTCATATGCTTTGTTGACGGGATTATGTCAATGTATTTTGTATACGAATATGTAAATTGTATGTAATTGAATTCTGTATATACTGATATGTATATGGTGGGTAACTGAATAAACAAAATCCTCGTACTTGATATCAACGTATCGAACTCTTAATTTCTGATACCAAATTACGGCTTTCTATACAAGAAGGCACAATTTTATAACACACCCGAACACTGTTCCTTCGTGAAAACTTTTCACCAGGGACTGTGACTTTAATGACGACATGTTATACTGTTTTATTGCGCTGGTCACTTTCGTTGTCAGTCCTTTTGTCAAGCTCTGTCGTGTTAACGCAATCCGTGGCACAAGTAACGATTGGAAGTTTACAACAAGTTTCAAGATCTAGACTCTCTCGGAGTTTGTGGTATGCGTTCTAATGGAATCGGCAAACAATAATGATATCATAACGACAGATAGCACCGATCGCTCAAAGGACTTTGCGTTATTGTGTTGGTACATGTGTTGGAATTGAACAAACTTTGTCTGATCCTTCAGTATGGTCACAAATTAATGAACGAAATCCACAGCAATAACGTTTGAAATCAAAAATTCTCATTACAATTGGTTTGGGTATCTCAGTAGATTGTTTAGATATTGATGATAATGAAGCGTATATTATGTTATTAAAATAGAAAATAAACAAACTTCAATATTTATTTGTAAAACAAATATTCAACGGAAAATTACTCTGTAACTGTCCCATCCCCTTACAATTAAGTTGATATAAAATCCATTGTCATTTTTTATGATGACAATTATAAGTTGTGTCAAGAAACTGTAAAAATCCAATGCAGCTTTATTATTTGTTATTATTGTTCAAACTTTTGTCATCATTTTGCATGATCAAGAAACTATTTTTTTTACATCAGCTGATGTGCTACTCCCTTTCCTTGAGTTTATTTTAATACCTTAACTCAAACTAGAAAAAAAAAGAGTATGAAGCCAATTTCTTTCTAATAATTCTAACTTTAAAAAAAAATGTACCCCTTGTGATCAAGAAAAAGATAAAAAAAATATGATATGCTTGGCCAACGTTTAAATGTTATGTCTCTATCTTGTGTAAGAATAATTATGAGAAACTACAAGTTTAAGGATAAAACAGTTTAAAAGTATTCTCTATTATATATTGTTGACCTTTGTTGCCTTTTAAAAGATAAATTAGTTAATTTTAATAAATAGCAAAATATGTTTTTTAGTAAGATATTGCACACCTTACATGAAGTTTGTTAACTATATCCCACAAACACTAGGTTCCCTCACTTACACCTCATTGGAAACGTGATTTTGTTGATCAATCTTTTATTTTTGACGTCCCGTAACAGGGCTTTGCGAAGTCATCTTCAATTGTGACGTTAATATACCTAGCAATTGTTTCCCCCATCGGAAACAATAATTAGGTACTTTCCAATGGAAAAATGTGGTTTTCCAAATAAAATACGAAGGTAATAGGAGAAAAAGGCACCCAGACTCGCGATAGTTATTATCATGTTTGCCTCACTCTCATTACTAAGTATTCAAATTTTAAAAGATACTCTTTAAACTTTGTATCCTCATACAATTTGAAATTGTTTGATAAACATAATAACCAATCAATACTTTTTGAGGAACTTCTATATGTCTTAAGTTTTTTTCCTTATTATTTTCATTACAAGTGGTATGAATTGTTCTTTTATGAAGATTTTTAATAGATTTACCTTTTAAATTTGATATAATACAGACATTCGTCATCGTGAAAAGAAATCTGACTTGTGCTGCTATTATGGTTATTATTGGTATTTTCTAAGTACTTTGACTGGATTAATATAATCTGTAACATGTAACTGAGCAGTATCAGGTACTCGAGAGGTACGATTCTGTATCATAATCCCAACGAGTCTCAAGTCGAGGTTAGCATGTTACAGAATTTTACCCGGAGAGTAAGATAACCTGATCTCGCTCAGATAAAAAAAAAAAAATGTGATTTTTTGTTCATGCACCTCACTTCATTAATGTCATTCAAAAAAGAAAAATTATTTTCGGCATATTTTTCAAGTATCACTTCTGTGACCTCATTTTTATATGGCCACTGCATCACTTAAGCTACGTATAATGCTATCTCATACACAATAAACTTTGTTCGAAAAAGAGAGTAAAACATGTTTCACGGTGAAGATAATATCAAATATATAATTCGTGAATTAAGTATCACCAAAACAATACAATTTAATGACAAAATAGAGTATCTTAAATGATGAATATACCACCATGTCAAATTAGGCCAAAATATAACTTCAAGAGAAATAGATCTGGCAAGATTGAAACATATATCGTGAAGAATAATGTTGTGTGTTCCTGTATGGGTGCGAGAACTAATAAAGTTGTATGCATGTTTGACAAGCAGCAATGGGAACTCGATGACTTCAGTATTTTTGTATGCATCCTTTTTACAAAACATTAAGGAATGACCAAGATTATTTTGAGGAGTATACAATACTTACCAAGAGAACTGTGTACATAACACCCTTCACGAATCCATGCAACATGCATAGTTTTATAAAAAAGAAAATGAAAAATGTACACTCTTTTCCATAAACCATTTCTGGGATTTATGCAAAAAGCATTTTACTCATATACATGTACTGTATATGCCTCCAAATAATCTTGGTTGTTCCTTATAATTGAATTTCAAAAGACAGTCATCACTTTCTTCAAGTTCATATTTATTTACATATGTAGTTAAGATAAAAAGAATAAAAACAATTTGTCACAAAGCATGGTGCTTCATTTTCATCACCGAGCAAACTAAAGCAATCAGATAGGTTAATGTATTATACAAATGTAACATGATATCCTTTTGTCTGTATTCCGTTGCTGACTTACGCTACCTGCATCTCAAATTGATTCACTCTCTTTTTTGGTCTGAGTTTGATTCTCTACTGGCAGACACTGTCTGTGTTCTGAAGTTGATAATCTACCGACTGAAACTGTATATACAGCGGTGGACATAGTAGGCTGTTTCTCACTGATGGACCGATGATGTTTATCTGCTGGCGGATCTTTCGGTATTATCATCGTTGTCGGTACCTTCACAAACAAATCGAAAAAAAAATCATTAAGCAATAAATCTTTAAAACAAAAACAAAAATCACAAACAGTCGATCTTTAGCTTATTTAATATATCATAATACTTCCATTAAACAATGATGTACAGAGTTTGTAGGGCTCATTTCTTAGCTTTGAAAGTAATTTTGTACAGTAGTTCATGAAACGTCATACGACCGCACACATTGAATAGGTATCGAACATATTGGAGGATATTTTTGAATTCGAAAGTGGACCGAGTAACGTATATTGTACTTCGTGATTAAATCAATATTCATATAAAACAGTCAATGTGTCAGTGATTGATTATAAGTGTCTCCATACGCTCTTACTCGCTTTTCAAACTTTTCTCGTATAGAACAAGGAATGCTATCAGATTTTGCACACGCCTAAAATTGCCATGTACTTTTAATGGCCACTTGTGACATCACTGGTCAACTAGGCTCATTACCGCCCACAAAATAACCATATTCACAGGCCCGATAAAGTAGGGCGCTTACCTTGTATGTCATACGGCCCGTAGTCTCGGGAAAGATATGTGTTAGTACAACGGATTAGCGGCAAATACAAAATTAACAGCAATCGTGTGTAAAACTCTTTAAGTGTTCGATATTTTTTTTATTATTTTAATCTAAATATCCGAAAGTATAGCATAGAATTACTTACTTATGTACACTGTAACATAACTCTTGGTCATTCATTCTTAAGTCTTGTCAAAAAAGCAATGGTAACGTTAGAAGTACTTTGAAATCAATCTGAACCCACCTTCCGTCTTTTCCTCCAAATAGCTGTAGCAGTGTACAGAAACGGATTGATAGCGGCGTTCACAGGCAGCACGAACACCATCACCCATGCATACACGTCATCGGGAATTCGTACTCCACATTTTGCTAATACACCTGGAACAGATCACGTGCTCTTAATGTAAATTATGGTTTTTTTTCTACAATATGCTTACACTCCCGATCTGAAAAAATATGAGAAAAATCAAATAGTCTATTTGTTAGGACTATTGACAATAAACGATAAAAATGGCGTTTTAAACTGAATGACGTACGCTCGTTAACTACATTTGTATCTGTTATAAAATGGTATACCAATGATATTTTGGTTAAAATTGCTTCATGAAGTTGGCTATTTATACACATGAATCTATAAATACTCACGTTAAAGAACAATTTGTTATACGTACAAAATATATTAATGGAAATCGAAAAATGAAGAAACCAATTCAGCATGAAATTAGAATCAAATACATACATACTATGTATTATGTTTAATATTATGATACATGAAGAAATTAGAATAGGAAAACTTACCCATGACACCAATCGGAAACCAGCAGAAAAAGTCTGTGGCCACAACAAAGAATAGAGTAATTGCTACAGTCATCTCTCGTTGACGGTTCTGCGAGGAGCTAATACGGCGACCACTTTCTCTCATGCTTTTGCAAATGCAGATTTGGCCTATGACTATTATTACAAAGACGATGCTGTTCAGACAAACAAATACTGCGAAGGAATATTCCGTTCCTGGCCACTCTTCGCTTGTCAAAGGAAGAGCGAGACACACACCTGACTGAGAATAAAATTCCCCTTGGAAGTAGGACTGCATTGTAACAATAGGGATGACTGCAAGTGTGATAGAAACAATCCACAAGAGAACTGAGAAAATTAAAGCCTGTTTCCATGATATGTTCCAACTAGAAAGACGAGAAAGCGGGAACACTATGACAATTACTCTGTCTATTGTTACCAGTAAAATAAGAAACGTCGACATCTCACTTGATACACTAGATAAAACACCAGCTAAAGTACATAAGATGCTTTTTCGCCAAATATAATCATTCCATGCATAAACACCGTTGTAATATATATCAGCAACTCCTATTATGATAAGGTAGACGCCCATTAGTAAATCGGATAGGGCCAAGTTAACTACAAAAAGAGAATAACTCCTTGTCATATTATCACTGTCGAGGAAAAGTCGATAAAATAGAACCAGCAGGTTTCCGATAAAAGCACATATTCCAATTATCCAAAGACACACTCGAAGTACTTCCGAACTCACCAAAGCAGACCAAGATGAAATCGCATCACCGTTGGTGTTTGGACACACAGACCAATAGCAATGAATTAATGATGGATCTGTTTCAGCGACCGACGTCGGCTTGATACAACACACTTTTGACACTTCTGTTTTGTTTCCCATGATATTTAATGGATACAATATAGCATGTTTGGCTAGTGATGCATAAGGTAAATACGTCAGTGCATTGTTTGACACGTCTAGATATACTTTGGTGAAAAGCACTACAGGTAGAGCAGATATTTTATTATTTCGCAAAGAAAGGAATTTAAGTGTAGTGATTTCACTGAACACATGACTAGGTAGATCTGCTATCTTATTGTTGGACAGATCAAGAGAATGAAGTTCAGACAGTCCATTGAACACATTGTCGAGTAGAACAGCTATCTTATTGTTGGACAGATCAAGAAAAACAAGATTAGACAGTTCATTGAACACATTGTCGGGTAGAACAGCTATGTTATTGTTGGACAGATCAAGAAAATCAAGATTAGACAGTTTATAGAACACATTCCCGGGTAGAACGGATATCGTATTGTTGGACAGAACAAGTCTATAAAGTTTAAACAGTCCACTGAGCACATTGTCGGGTAGAACAACTATCTTATTGTTGGACAGATCAAGAAATTTAAGTTTAAACAGTTCACTGAACACATCGTCGGGTAGAACAGCTATCTTATTGTTGGACAGATCAAGAAAATCAAGTTCAGACAATCTATAGAACACATTCGCGGGTAGAACTGATATCGTATTGTTGGACAGAACAAGTCTATGAAGTTTAGACAGTCCCAAGAACACATAGTCGAGTAGAACAACTATCTTATTGTTGGACAGATCAAGAAATTCAAGTTTAAACAGCTCACTGAACACATCGTCGGGTAGAACAGCTATCTTATTGTTGGACATATCAAGAAAATCAAGTTCAGACAATCTATAGAACACATTCGCGGGCAGAACTGATATCGTATTGTTGGACAGAACAAGTCTATAAAGTTTAAACAGTCCATTGAACACATTGTCAGGTAGAACAACTATCTTATTGTTGGACAGATCAAGAAATTCAAGTTTAAACAGCTCACTGAACACATCGTCGGGTAGAACAGCTATCTTATTGTTGGACATATCAAGAAAATCAAGTTCAGACAATCTATAGAACACTTGCCCGGGTAGAACTGATATCGTATTGTTGGACAGAACAAGTCTATAAAGTTTAAACAGTCCATTGAACACATTGTCGGGTAGAACAACTATCTTATTGTTGGACAGATCAAGAAATTTAAGTTTAAACAGTTTACTGAACACATCGTCGGGTAGAACAGCTATGTTATTGTTGGACAGGTCAAGAAAATCAAGATTAGACAGTTTATAGAACACAATCGCGGGTAGAACTGATATCGTATTGTTGGACAGAACAAGTCTATGAAGGTTAGGCATTCCCCAGAACATATAGTCGGGTTGAACAACTATCTTATTGTTGGACAGATCAAGAAAATCAAGATTAGACAGTTTATAGAACACACTTATTGTTGGACAGATCAAGAAACTCAAGTTCAGACACTCCATAGAACACTTTCCTGTGTAGAACTGATATAGTATTGTTGGACAGAACAAGTCTTTGAAGGTTAGGCAGTCCCCAGAACATTAAGTTTAAACAGTTCACTGAACACATCGTCGGGTAGAACAGGTATGTTATTGTTGGACAGGTCAAGAAAATCAGGATTAGACAGTTTATAGAACACAATCACGGGTAGAACTGATATCGTATTGTTTGACAGAACAAGTCTATGAAGTTTAGGCAGCTATGTTATTGTTGGACAGATCAAGAAAAACAAGATTAGACAGTTCATTGAACACAATGCTGGGTAGAACAGCTATGTTATTGTTGGACAGATCAAGAAAAGCAAGATTAGACAGTTCATTGAACACAATGTTGGGTAGAACAGCTATGTTATTGTTGGACAGATCAAGAAATTCAAGTTTAAACAGTTCACTGAACACATCGTCGGGTAGAACAGCTATCTTATTGTTTGACAGATCAAGAAAATCAAGTTCAGACACTCCATAGACCGCTTTCCTGTGTAGAACTGATATCGTATTGTTGAACAGAACAAGTCTATGAAGTTTAGGCAGTCCCAAGAACACATAGTCGGGCAAAAAAGCTCTCTTATTGTTGGACAGATCAAGAAAAGCAAGATTAGACAGTTCATTGAACACAATGTTGGGTAGAACAGCTATGTTATTGTTGGACCGGTCAAGAAAATCAAGATTAGACAGATTATAGAACACAATCGCTGGTAGAACTGATATCGTATTGTTGAACAGAACAAGTCTATGAAGTTTAGGCAGTCCACTGAACACATAGGCGGGTAGAACAGCTATCTTATTGTTTGACAGATCAAGAAAATCAAGTTCAGACACTCCATAGAACACTTTCCTGTGTAGAACTGATATCGTATTGTTGAACAGAACAAGTCTATGAAGTTTAGGCAGCTATGTTATTGTTGGACAGATCAAGAAAATTAAGTTTAAACAGTCCACTGAACACATAGTCACTGAACACATCGTCGGGTAGAACAGGTATGTTATTGTTGGACAGGTCAAGAAAATCGGGATTAGACAGTTTATAGAACACAATCGAGGGTAGAACTGATATCGTATTGTTTGACAGAACAAGTCTATGAAGTTTAGGCAGCTATGTTATTGTTGGACAGGTCAAGAAAATCGGGATTAGACAGTTTATAGAACACACTTATTGTTGGACAGATCAAGAAACTCAAGTTCAGACACTCCATAGAACACTTTCCTGTGTAGAACTGATATAGTATTGTTGGACAGAACAAGTCTATGAAGTTTAGGCAGTCCCAAGAACACATAGTCGGGTAGAACAGCTCTCTTATTGTTGGACAGATCAAGAAATTTAAGTTTAAACAGTCCACTGAACACATAGTCGGGTAGAACAGATATCTTATTGTTGGACAGATCAAGAAAATCAAGTTCAGACACTCCATAGAACACTTTCCTGTGTAGAACTGATATCGTATTGTTGGACAGAACAAGTCTATGAAGTTTAAACAGTCCCCAGAACCCACTGTCGGGTAGAACAACTATCTTATTGTTGGACAGATCAAGAAATTCAAGTTTAAACAGTCCACTGAACACATAGTCGGGTAGAACAGCTATGTTATTGTTGGACAGATCAAGTCTATGAAGTTTAGACAGTCTAAAGAACACATTCCCAGGTAGATCTGCTATCTTATTGTTGGACAGTTTAAGTCTATCAAGTTCAGACAATCCATTGAACACATTGTCGGGTAGAACAGCTATGTTATTGTTGGACAGATCAAGAAATTCAAGTTTAAACAGTCCACTGAACACATTGTCGGGTAGAACAGCTATCTTATTGTTGGACAGATCAAGAATATAAAGTTTAGACAGTTCATTGAAATCATTCCCGGGTAGATCAGCTATCTTATTTTTGGAATGAACAAGTGTATAAAGTTTAGACACTCCATTGAACACATTTTCGGATAGAACTAATATCTTATTGTTGGACAGATAAAGATATTTCAGTGCAGACAGTCCATTGAACACATTGTCGGGTAGAACAGCTATCTTATTGTTGGACAGAACAAATCTATGAAGTTTAGGCAGTCCCAAGAACACATAGGCGGGAAGAACAGCTATCTTATTGTTGGACAGATAAAGATATTTCAGTGCAGACAGTGCATTGAACACATTGTCGGGTAGACCAGCTATGTTATTGTTGGACAGATCAAGAAATTCAAGTTTAAACAGTCCACTGAACACATTGTCGGGTAGAACAGCTATCTTATTGTTGGACAGATCAAGAAATTTAAGTTTAAACGGTCCACTGAACACATAGTCGGGTAGAACAGCTATCTTATTGTTGGACAGAACAAATCTATGAAGTTTAGGCAGTCCCAAGAACACATAGTCGGGTAGAACAGCTATCTTATTGTTGGACAGATCAAGAAATTTAAGTTTAAACAGTCCACTGAACACATAGTCGGGTAGAACAGCTATCTTATTGTTGGACAGATCAAGAAAATCAAGTTCAGACACTCCATAGAACACTTTCCTGTGTAGAACTGATATCGTATTGTTGGACAGAACAAGTCTATGAAGTTTAGGCAGTCCACTGAACACATAGCCGTGTATAACAGCTCTCTTATTGTTGGACAGATCAAGAAATTCAAGTTTAAACAGTCCACTGAACACATAGTCGGGTAGAACAGCTATCTTATTGTTGGACAGATCAAGAAATTCAAGTTTACCATAGAACACTTTCCTGTGTAGAACTGATATCGTATTGTTGCACAGAACAAGTCTATGAAGTTTAGGCAGTCCACTGAACACATAGCCGGGTAGAACAGCTATCTTATTGTTGGACAGATCAAGAAATTCAAGTTTAAACAGTTCACTGAACACATTGTCGGGTAGAACAGCTATCTTATTGTTGGACAGATCAAGAAATTCAAGTTTACCATAGAACACTTTCCTGTGTAGAACTGATATCGTATTGTTGGACAGAACAAGTCTTTGAAGGTTAGGCAGTCCCCAGAACACATAGTCGGGTAGAACATCTATCTTATTGTTGGACAGATCAAGAAAATCAAGTTCAGACAATCTATAGAACACTTTCCCGGGTAGAACTGATATCGTATTGTTGGACAGAACAAGTCTTTGAAGGTTAGGCAGTCCCCAGAACATATAGTCGGGTAGAACATCTATCTTATTGTTGGACAGATCAAGAAATTCAAGTTTAAACCGTTCACTGATATCATAGTCGGGTAGAACAGCTATCTTATTGTTGGACCGATCACGAAAATCAAGTTCAGACAATCTATAGAACACTTTCCCGGGTAGAACTGATATCTTATTGTTGGACAGATCAAGAAATTCAAGTTTAAACAGTCCACTGAACACATAATCGGGTAGAACAGCTATCTTATTGTTGGACAGATCAAGATATTTCAGTGCAGACAGTCCATTGAACACATTGTCGGGTAGAACTAATATCTTATTGTTGGTCAGATTAAGTTTATAAAGTTCAGACAGTCCATTGAACACATTCCCAGGTAGATCAGCTATCTTATTGTTTGACAGATCAAGATATTCCAGTGCCGACAGTCCACGGAACACATTTTCAGGTAAAACTGCTAGGTCAGCGTTGGACAGATACAGAGGATAACGTCGGGGCGAGTCAAGGCTAGAATTCGAGCAGCAGATGATCTCCGTACAGTTGCTGACTTCTAAAACAAAAACCATAACAAACTGTACATGATTGTAAAATACAAACATCTTAATATTTGTAAGTCTCGAGATTGTTTGAAAACATATATAAAGGTAAAAATGCTTAGGATGTATCTAAATGATATACATGTATAATAACATTTGCGCTTCAATCTACTATATAATCCGGTATGAAAGCAAAACCTCTCGTGACGTAGCACTTGGTTTACTTATGACGTCATAGATTAACCTTGTTCAGTGAGAGTCTCGTCGCTTCGCTTCGAATTACATGGAGAATGTCCCTGCGTCGAACGCTCAAATGACTACGGTTAGTTATTGGCGCCAATTTTTAAATTTTCATACCGGTATGAACGCAAATCGGTTACATCTATATTAAACATGAAGCCTAAGCGGGCTTCATGCAATATGGATGTAACCGATTAGCAGTCATACCGGCATGAAAATAAAGAAAACGGCGTTCAATCCCTATATGACGTTGAAAGTCATTAGAATGGTAAACTCTCATTCTGTTATAGATTCGTATGAAAATGCAAGTTGTTCGTCGATAAAAACGGTAAGAGGTTTTGTTCCTGTATCACAAGAATCATAGTTTACCGATATATCTGAACTTTAAATAGGTCCCTGTTCTACCAGACTATCGGGCGTTATTCTCATTTTGGTCGGTGATTGAAATTACGATACTTGATAATGCCCTTGAAAATAAATTGTCAACTTAGAACAACAAATAAATGTTGTTTACAACTTAACATTATTATTGGTTTTTTCCGAGTCTGTAATTTATGAAATGTACATTTATCCGGATAAATTAAACATCGCATTCTTAATACAGGAACTCACCGGTTGTTTTGGCTATAAATCAGTTTTACAAACACAAATTATATTTGTTCAATCTTTTATGCATTTCAGCTCTCGCTCTGATATATTAACCACTGTATCTTCTGAAAAACAGACGCTTGAGACCAACGAAATATGTAGGCGTCACAATATTAGATAAATATCTCATTGCAAGAGATTTTACTTTCAGCTTGACGAGTACAATGGCTTCAGATACCTCACAATGTGTCTCAATAAAAAGAAAAATGTGATCTACGAAGGTTTACTTTATCAAAACATCAGCCCTAACCTATTCCGTCTTTGCGTATTGCAGAGTTATCTTCTCCTGGGATATTGATTGTTCCGTCATTGGTTTGTGCGAGAAAATTACGTCGTTTTCTCAAAAATTGATGACGTTACTCTCACAAACAAGTGACGTAACAATCAATACCTGCTCCCAAGAGAAGATAACTCTGCAATACGCAAAGACGGAATATACTTACCATAACCGATTCCTATTTCCGATTTCTGACAGCGAACACAACATTTGTATCTCTCTATATGATGGAAAGTTTCTGGCGGGCACGTGTTCTCTCCCGTAACTTGAGGACTCCCTAAAATATAATGAGCATCAGTGCTATACCAGACATATCATTTACCTAACTTTTTACGGAAGACATTTTGGATTTGTGTATAATATTAAAAGGCAAAGCCTTAACAGAGCGTAGCTTTTATTGATCTCTGATATTTACTGGTTCAGAAAACTAATTTCAGAATGAGATAAGATAAACTTTATTGAAAGTCGGCTAGTCGAGGAATAAAAATAAAACACAAGCTCTAATGAGATTAAGACCGACATAACAATAGGGAGACCGGGGCAATTAAGTTCGGCCTTTTTATTTTTATTATGGTCCGTTCTAGGAAGTATGGCAGCACGTCTGTTTTTGAACATTATTTAACCTTTTCTGTCGGTAGATCAATTGGCCGAACGAGCCCCGCCATGAGGTAAGTTCGGACAGGCATTCGGGTAAGTTCGGCCCGCACTGGAATCAGCTTAATTATGACGTCATAAAGCATGCAAAGTCAGATTTTACCGCCAATTTTACGACTTTTTATGTGTTAACTACATGGGCCGACCTTGCCACGGAATTATTAATCACCCTGCTCGGGCCCAAATTGATATTTCAATAAATTCTTATCGTACAGCAATATGGTAGTGAGTGATTGGCTTGGCTTTTATGTATTATCATTTGAAGCTGTCAGTGTGTTACACGTTTGATTGTAAAAAAGTAGCAATTCCGTTTCAAAAAGTTCGCATAACTAGAAGCGAGATCATGATTTTCTTTCTACCCTCTCAAAAGTATTTTTCTCCTGCTAAGTCATTTGACATAAGCGTTTTCTTCGCCAATTTTTCGTCGTTGAATGCCTAGCCAACTTAACTGCTAAGATCCTTCAAGTTGTAAATACTAGCTCAAGAGCTAAAAATATCAGGGATGGCCGAATTTGCCCCGGTCTCCCGTATGTAGATTTATTATATCATTGATGATTGGTAAAAATGTATTCACAATATAATTTTTGCATCAATGACGCCATTTTCTTCCAGTCAAAGCTAAAGTAGATATTTGTTCTTGTGCGTAACGTATATGATGGGTTTGGTGGCGCAGTAGATAAAGAACGCCGACAGAACATCGACTTCCGTCAGTGAGATGAAACCCGTAAGGGCGGAATTATGTTGGCGAAAAACCCGTCAACCGACCAGCCAACCAAGATAGCCGGATTCTATCCTGGTCACCTGCCCGACCACGCGGGTTTTCTCCGGAAACTCCAGGCTTCCTCCCATATCAAGAATTAAATCCTCTGCGTGCTACCGTCAGGGTACAAAAAGAATTGTTGAGATAAGCTGGGGGGAAAACTGTTTTGTAATTGTTATAGAAAAAGTGCATATTACATATTTGACGATTGGTATAAGTAAATGTATAGAGATGTCAGTTAAAGAAAAAAAAGAAGAAAAAAGAAAACATTGTAATACTTTGATGTAACTGAAATTGTCTTATATCTTTATATATGTAGTCTCAATAACTGTTCTATCCTGAAACACCGGATTGAATTTCAAATTTTGTAACTGTCACCGAGGTTTGACAGGTAACGATGCCAATAAAATTACAGTTTCTGTCTGTAACTAGTAATAAGTCGGCACGCGTTGTGAAAAAGTAATACGTTGCTGAAAACGGGCGTTGCACTTGAGTTGGTTGTCTGGGAAATTAGAGCTTATTTCGTCATAAATGCATTTTCCATTGCTTCTTTTATGAGTGGTGATGCATTAATAATGCAAAGCCTATATTTCGTTCATATTCTCAACAAATGGAAATCAAAAGCTGATGAAATTTTAAATGATCTCTTTTTGAAGATAGGCGTATCTCCAGGTAGAAATATCAACAGAACCGGGTTGATCTACAGAAAATATCCGCATTTTTACTTTTTGTGCCTGTGCAAACATAAAAAAAAAGTCTTGAAGCACCGACAAAGAGATAAATGCACCGGACACCAGTTCCAGAATTTTCCGGTTATCTTTCATCCTTCCGGAAATAACCGATGAAGGCCGATGGATTGTGACGTGCTTGTGACGTCATAGTATGATAATCTCTGAACAAAATTTCATGCCTGTTAGTATCACATTTTATGTGATAGACTTTTTTCACTCAGAATGTATATTATTTTTTATCTAAATAAACAAGTGATAAAACATGAAGATTGTTTTCACTATATAAAGATATTCATGTATGGGTTGAAACACAATTGTCTTTGCTTCAAGGATACCCTTACTGTTTCCCCACTGGACGTCTACTTCCGGACGAAAATGTTTAAAGGCAAGGTGTAGAAAGGGGAAACAACTCTGTTTACGCACGCATGTGTTACCATTAAAGAGCTTCGCTCGGGCGCCCGAGACCTACGCTCGTATTACAATTCTGAACATCAATACGAAACCACAAGGTTTGAATCAGAAAACAATTTCGAAACTCCATTGATGACTGTATCTTTCGAATTGTTATGGTGACGCCATGTTTGCACAGTTTAAGAGTTTGTGGCTCTGATCTTATTTGATTGATATCTCTAAATTTTAAACAGATTGTTTAGGATAATAGTCTTACGCTATCTCTATGATACCCCTAAAGAAAATAACATAAAATAACATTCAATTTCATTTTAAAAGTCCCAATTCTTTGATTTTAAAATTTTTAAAACCGTCCTTTTCATAGTTAAACCCCGAAAATATGTTTGAATATTCTTTAAACCGGCTAATCATACTGTTTTCTGCACGTCATGATTCATTCAAAATTGGAAACCCTGTTTTGTAATTTTTAACAAAATATTATCAAAACACACATAGGGGTTTATCAGGTTGTGTGCGAAACGTTGAGGTGGACGACTGTATATGAGAAGGATGGAGGAGGAAGTGGTTGTCTGTGTTGTATATGGAGTGAGATGTAGGGAAAGTAACTGACGGTCGTGTAAGAGAAGGATCAGGTTAAGTTGTTTGTTTGGGATTTAACGTCCTCGCAACAGCCAGGTCAGATGAGAACGGAATCAAGTAAGTGGTGTATGGCTATTCTAGTAGAATGGGAATATGGAAATACTAAAGAGTGTGTGAGGAGGTGCATATTGACAGAATCGACGGGTGTATATACGACGGCATTAGGAAAGTGGAGAGAGGCAGTGTGTGTGGGAGAAATGAAGGAATGGTGGGTTATTATATTGAAGGATGATGTGTGACAGAAGAAAGAAGGGGGGTGGTACGGGAATACAGAAGCGTTCATACCAATGTAAAAGTTCAAACAAAGCATCACGGCGTCTTATATGACTAAGGGGAAATGAATCGAGTGATATGTTTAAAAACCAGAACAGTAAATGCTTAAAGTCATTATAATTGGTTAAAAGTCATTGTAATTGGTTAAAAGTCATTGTAATTGGTTAAAAATCATTGCTTTTACTGAATAACAACTTTTTGTTGCTGCACATACATTATCAATCGGAAAGCGTCATTCATCAGATACAAGAATATATAAGTAAATAAACAGACTTACTTATGGTATTAACGCACGTTCTTGAAGTAATTATCTGAGAGATGATATTATAGTTTGGCGGATCATAGAAACTTGAGGTGTGAAAGAGTAGGTGACGAAGAATTATGTTTAGAACGTATTCATTATATAAATCAGCCCTGTTTACGGGAAACTATCATTTTAAGTGTGTTCATTCTTAGAAACTCTTACAGATCTCAATCACATATGGTAACTTGCCATTGGGTGGTATTATAGTCCGATAGTCTATTAGATTTAAGATTATGTCCACATTACAAGTTTACAATTTTAGAAAATAAAACAATTTTCTTAATTGACTGCTGTTTTGATTAAAATATAAGGTATCGCTTATTTCTTCAAATGAATCTTTTATTTTGAGATTTGAGAAATATGAATAATGGTGTAAACTTATAAAGATTTCAGAATTTTGCAAAATTATGTTTTTATCTTCAAGTCTAAAATTATAAACATAAAAGAGGTTATGAACTTGAGTTTGTATTAATATGATAATACTTCTTAAACGATTAAGACGTTTTAGTATGATGTCTCATAAGCCGGTATCATTGAGGATTTTAGTATCAGCGAAAAATGCTATAATAGGCATCATATGTCTAGGAGAGAGAGCGTAGTCGGTTGTCGTCGGCTGTTTTCGAGAGGTGGTGGTACAGAGTGTATGAGTGGAAGAGGTGGTCAGCTGTGTAGTAGAAGGAACAGGAGTTTGTATGTTGGTCAATAAGTGGTCATGGTCATCTGTGTAAGGAGTATGGTTTAAGGAGTCAGAGGAAGGTCGTGGTCAGCTATGTTTGAGAGGAGGGAGGAAGTGCCAGTCGGAGTTATATAAGAGGCTGATGAAGTGATAATCTCCAGTTTATGAGAGAGATAGAATGATGGAGAACTGCAATATGATGAATACTGTTATATCATTATCTTCGCTACATTTTTATACACGTATCAGGTACAACTCGAGTCTACCCGCAAAATAACATTTATTATATCAATATAAGTGTACATTGTTTATTCGGAAAATCCGTCATAGAAAAAACATTGTGGGAACGAGATTTTAAGTGTGTTCATTCTTAGAAATTCTCGCAGATTCCTTAGCTCAATCACAATTTAACATTAATTATATTACATTATATGTTTACCACAATACTAAACATTGATTGTTTAAATAATATTACATTGTAGTTGCACTTGAAAACGTCTTGAGATTGTTTTTGCAACATTAATATGTATATAATAATGTTTAGATAATTGGTAGAAAGTTTTGATATCAGATAACCATGCCTTTCTAAGACGGAACTAGTGTACAGTGTACTAATACCTTAAAGGAATAATTACGAAGGGATACTAATCTATAGTTGCTTACATATATGTTGGATATGAGATTGTCATATGGAAAATATGCTTGCGTGGAATACTTCACTAATATTAAATGATCACCATGTAGCGAAGAGATGTACAATCAATGACAAGCAATCGTAGAATAAAAGAGATACTGATAGAAGAAGCTACCTCACAAAATAGAATTATTTACAGGTAGATGTGTAAGACACATTAGAATGCTAAACT